TGTGTTAACTAAATAGGCTACCAATTAAACGATTTTTTTGCTAATTTTCATTGCACTCCAGCTTGTCCTTCCCCAGTCAGCAGCAGCGATGTGTTTTTGGAACTGGAGAGCCATGTCTAAGCTTATAATTAATATTTATCATAGTTTCTTTAATAATTAGGCGATTTTTTGTTTCTACTTTTACACAATGGGGTCATAACTCCTTGCTCTCCCAGTTGCCAATTCAACATATGGCGAAGAGGCCCAAGGTAACCACAACATGCTCGTAAAATCCACATTTTAAAATTCTGGAATCACCATTTTCTTTTGTTCTCTGCTAGTTCTCCGTGCCCCCCACAACCCACCCAAAACATCAATTCACTACAATCGGGAGGCGGGGAAGGTCCATGCTCTCAGCGTCACTGTACCCATTAACACCTCTTTGTAAAATCTTAATCCTAGAAGTGGAGTTAAGATGGAAAAGATTTTTAGAAGCAACCGAAATATATGTGTTTATTATTTATACACTATGTTTAATTAAAACATCATATTATAGTGAATTTTAGGTTTTGTTTTAAGTAGATAGGTCCATTATATGTTAGAAACTGTAACATACTAACTCTTATTTGTTAGTTAAGATATTTGTTGGTTAATAACAAAAAAAGTAAAATTTATATATATATATGTATATATATATATATATATATATATATATATATATATATATATATATATATATATATATATATATATATATATATATATATATATATATATATACATACATATATATATATATATATATATATATATATATATATATATATATATATATATATATATATATATATATATATATATATATATATATATATATATGTATATATACATATATATATATATATATATATATATATATATATATATATATATATATATATATATATATATATATACATATATATATACATATATATATATATATATATATATATATATATATATATATATATATATATATATATATATATTATATATATATTTATATATATATATATATATATATATATATATATATATATATATATATATGTATGTATGTATATATATATATATATATATATATATATATATATATATATATATATATATATATATATATATATATATATATATATATATATATATATACATATATATATATATATATATTTAAAAAAAAACCCAACCCAAATGGGTTTTTTTTTAAATATATATATATATATATATTTAAAATATATATATATATATATAGATCAAAATACCAAATTTTTATAATTGTATGATTACAATAATTTTTTTTTAATTTCATAAATTCACCTCCCTATTGCTCCAATTACCACTTCAGTCAAAAGTGAACTTATTTTTTAAAAATATTTTGTCTCAATCCTTAACATTACCCTTTTTACTAATAAACAACATTAACAACTAAAATTTTTAAACAAAGGCGCTGTGCAGAGAAATAGATTGAGCACAGTAGTTTCAGAAGAGATGATTTGAACCCCAACCTTCTGATTGCGAGCCAAATGTTTTACTACTAGTCTATTAGCACATTTTACCTATAGTGCAAAAGAGGACTCTATAAAACTATAAATGATATTAATTAATTGCACTAAATTAAAAACAGAATATTTTTGACTAAAAAAAAATCACTATAAAAATTATTATGACAATTGAGTTATTCAAAGTTGGTAAGACAATATAAATGTTGCAAACTATTTTTTCTTACTAATATGTTCAATATATCGTTTCAAAAACTAATTTGCACAAGCTTACAATATGTAATCAACAAGTTTGCAACATGGTGTTGTAAGTTGTTGTAAGTTATTGTCAATCAGGATGACTATGAACACTTTTTAAACATTTTTGCATCATAGAAGAAAACTGTTAGCCTAATCACTACATTTTTTTTTTATCAGAACATTATACTGTCCAGCTTCCTGGAAAAGTTATTGGCCTGATCAACTGGATTTTAACAAAAAATGGATTTTTGCCTAAACTTTGGTTGTTCTTAAAATATATAAAATGAATTTGTTAAGAACCATCACAGTGTCTTCACCACCAGATTCTTTTTTTTTCCTTGAAGGCTCAGTTTTGCAACTGAATCAACGTAACACATTATATAGCTCTATTGTGTGTGTTTCTTCACCTTTTAGCAACTTGATACTGATGTTCATTTTCAAGCTGCTGTTCATAGTCACCCCTGTTGGTGGTACATGTTGTAAACTTGTAGCTGATGCAAAATATTCAAAACCTGTCAAAAGTCAGATGAGTATCATTTTTATCAACAAATCTTGTCCTTGTGAAATGCATACAGGTTTTCGACATGTTCTCTCATTGAATGAGCAAAAATGTTTTAAAGTTGTATGCACTTAATAAGGAAAAGTCTAGTAAACTGTAGCATTTTTTTTTGCCTGACAATTTTCCATTTCTAAACTGTAAATAAAGTTTAAATATTTATATATATATATATATATATATATATATATATATATATATATATATATATATATATATATATATATAATATATATATATATATATATATATATATATATATATATATATATATATATATATATATATATATTTTATTTTGCTTGTGGCTTTGTACTGAAATTTGCAGTTTGCAACATAAGCTTTAAAAAAATAAAAGATCAAATACCAATATAAAATGACATATAAAATGCTTGTTAGGAAATATAGACAGTTGAGAGAAGAATAAAGATACTAAATAACTAGTAATGTCTTGAAATTTAGTTAATAGAATGATTTTTATTTCCTTTATAAGTATTTAACTAATTTAATGTTTTAATACATATTTCAATAACATTTATAATAACTTGCTATGTTTAAAAAAAATGATTAATAACCAACTTGATACAAAAACAGATTGATCGGTTTTGGGTATATTCTAAATAGCATTATGTATATAAATACAGTGTTTACAAGAGTAATTACAGTATAAAAGTTGCACTTACTGATAATAAAGCATTTATAAGTGTTAAAATCAGAGTTATCAGTTGTAAAATAGGACATTTTTAAAAAAACCCAAACATATTTTGGGTTTTATTGGGTTTTTTTAAGGTGGGTTTTTTTGGGTTGGGTTTTTTGCCAATCCTGATTGTTAGAAATACCGGTGATAGCATTTTAGCATGTTTATTTTTATATTTAAATAAAAAAGCTCATAGATTAAATAAAATTGATTACGTTTTAGTAATAGTTTTTTAAATTTTATATTGTTTTATATCAAATCATAAATACAGTTTGTACATATATTTTCTAATCCCGTAGTGTTCCTTTATAAATGTCTGTAACTCAGTTATTTAATATTTTTTATTCATTTTTTCATAAAATTTTTAAAACAATGTTACTGATCAGTTGTGAGTTATTTCATCATTTTACCAGAACAAGTCAGTAGCATTCTTCCTGGGTGGTAGATGCCCATTCTTTTTGAACTCTTGTGATGAGTTGTTGGCAGTTTTGGGGTCTGGTATTTTTAAAAATGCTGTTCTGAAGCCTTGCCCATACATGTTCAATGTAATTAAAATGATTTTCCTGGCCATTTAGTCCAGACATTGTTGCACTCCTTATAGATGACATTCAAAATATTCCATCTTACATTAAAACAGCATGCTGAGCAAATAAAAAGTTTGCTTTATCAGTCATTGCAAATTTGTAAACAGGCAAGATCTTTTTCTTGTATTAATCACCATCTACTGTTGTATACACTTGTTGTAATACATAATACATCCACTTGTTGTAATAAAAAATATGTTTTTTATTTGCATTACCGCTTAGCTGTTCATCAGTCAGTGTGAATGGACTAAAATCAGTTGTCAGCAACGGTTATTTGCTGGCATTTAATTATTTAAGCATCCTAACGCTTTGTAGAAAAGTTTGTAAAAAGTTGCATTTTGCAACAAAGTATTTCAAACTCTATTTTATTAGTTTAAAAAATTTATTAGTAAATATTAGATCAAATTTTTAATGAAACAATTTATTACTTGATAAATATTTCTTTGTGTATTTATAAAGTAATAAATTTATGTTTCTTCTTATTTTCATATTTAAAAAAATTTGTTACTCTTCTTCTTTGTAAAACAAAAATTTTTAATTTAAATTTTTAATTTAAAAAAACACAAAAGTTGTACTGAAATAGCTGCAAGCGAGAAAGCAAATAGTTTAAAATCTTTTTACATAAAAACTTGAATGAATGAGTAAAACATAAAAACATAAAAACTTGATTGAATGAGAATTTAAAATTGTGTTTTTGTTACGTTATTCAAATGTAGGCTAACAATTTTTTAATGTTCTTTAATAAACAGTAATGTATATTACTGTTTATTAAAAAAGATTAAAATTAATTTTTAAATATTCTATAATTTAAACTTTGAGTATGTTGTATTTTAGATTTTTAGTTAAAAATGCATACATACAAATATTGTGCATTTAAAAGTGTATTTTATTTTTTAAAAAGTTTATAGTTAAAAATATAAAATTTAAAAAAAAAAAAAAAAAAAATTATAAAAACTTTTAAAAACTACATTAGCTCTTTAATTCTTTAATGTTATTATTTTTACAGTTTTTTAAGATGTTTTTTAATGAAATTTAAACATTTGCCATTTGAACTTCAAGTTTATTTATTAATAATTATGTCAAAATATTTTTAAAAAACCTTAAATAAAGAACGTTTTTAGCTTAAAGAGACTCCTAAAAATGTAACAATGAATGATTAAATTTTTTGCTTTTTTTTATTATTATTTTTTATAAACTTGTTATTCTTAATTTGTATTTTTTTTTTACTTCATTCTGTATTGGTTTTACTTAATTTTTGTTTTGATCTGTTACTTTACAAGTTTTATCAATTCCATTTTTCTCTAGGTTAGATTTCAATAATAATTTTTTTAAAATACTTTTATAAGTTTATTGAGTTAAAATTTTTAAAATTTATTTTGAATAGTTCTTTTTTTTTCTTTCAGATATTCCAAGTGCAGTCTTGATGGATTTAATGCCACTGCTACAGCCAGTAATATTCTTGTTGATAGTAATACAATTATTAACTCTTCAAAATCTGTATTTAAAAGAGTAATAGTTTTTTGCAAATTATCAACATTAAACATTGTACCAACACCAATTGTTTCACAAAATGGTTATGCTTCGATATCACCTAATAAAAATTTATTAGTTACCATCAATCAAGATTATGGATCTTACAGGAATTATTTGATTAACTGGGGAGATGGTAGTACTAAATGGATTAATCAGTCTGATAACCAAGGTCTTGTTTCATTTCAAGAACGGCATATCTATCAAAGGGAAAATAAGTATATTGTATCAGTCACTTGTAGGAATTTATTAGATTTTAGTAATAATTCATTTATAGTTATGGTCATAAACTGTTCAATTCCAGGACTAAGTTTTTATTATGGATCTATATTAAGTCCTATGACTGTTATTCGAAGTGTTGGTGCTGACTTATCTGCTGTTGTTAAAAATCCTGATCCATTTTGTCCAAAATTAAGCTCCGTATTTCAATGGAATCTTACAAATTCTGTTTTGACACAATCAACAGTAGGCACTCAAGTTCAACAAAAGGTGACATACACAATCCAAAGAAATCAACTTTTATTTGGTCTTTACAACTTAACACTAACTTATAAGTACGGGGAAGAAACTAATATTTATATTGCCTACTTGAATGTTACAGCTTCACCATTGTTAATGGTTATTGATAAAGGATTTTTTAATTCGATTGCTTACAAGAAGACTTTTGGAAACAGTACCATACACCAAAACTTTACAATAAGTGCAACTTCTAGTTATGATCCAGATGATCCAACAAATGGAGCTCAAGATATCACTTTTATGTGGAGATGTAAAATTGCTTCAAATTTATCAGATGCTTTAGATGCAATGTCAAATTTTACACATTTGAATTCGACATATAAAAGTGACACTTGTTTTAATGAAACCTGGGTGAATATTTCTTTTGGAAATTCCAAAATTAATTTTAGTACACATCAGTTTTTGGAAGGAATTAATTATCATATTGAAGTATGTGGAACAAAGTATGCAGGTAAAGATGTTTACTCAATTGACAGATACAAAGCAGATTGTTTTACTCAAGTACTTTATATGGTTCCTCGAGGTCTTCCAACTCTTTCTACTATGTATGTTGTTTATTTATTCTTTTTATTTTTTTTTTTTTCTGCTTTTGTTGAAAACAAATGATTAACATCAAAAAATCATAATTATATTTCTAAGAGTTTTTATAAACGAATTTTTGTTATATAAATTTAAATAAATTAAATAAAAAAAATTTTAAATTAAATATATTAATTAAAAACTAAGTTTAAAAACTTTTATATATACATAAAACAAAGACACACTATACTTGGTCCTCTATTGATTCTTATCTACATCAACGATCATCGTAACAATATTGCATTTCAAGGTGTTCTATTTGCTGACAACTTAACTTTGTAATTCTTCTTTGACTAAAACTTATCTTTTTGATCACTTAAAATAGACAGTCAATCTTGAATCTGATCTTGCTTTTGTAACAACATGCAGCATGCAGGCATGCAGGGGCCTGTGAGTTTAACTCCAACAAAACTCAGTTAATTACTGCTAGCAACTATCGTAATACTGTTGACATTCCTATGTTAATGACTTATGGAAACCGTATATACAACTGATTGCAAAGTTAGCATATGCCTAAGTTGCTTTTTTTAATCATGCTTACCATTATCTTTTATTTGTTCCTTAATGCTGTGGTCATATTTCGGGTGGTTCTTATAATGATGCCCTCTCTCCTCTAGACAAGATTTTAAAACTAATTACAATTGTTGTAAGGTTGTATCTTTTTCTCTTTTCTAAAATCATAATTGCTGCTTAATAAAGCTATCATCTCCATCATTCAAGATATTTGCTTGACTCGTCATTCAGCAAATTATTGCCGACCTCATTTTTCCTAATTCCAAGGGTTGCCTGTCCCTACATGCCCTAAAAACATATACTTTTCTTGTTTTTTGCCTGCACCTCAATCCTTTCAAACACTCCCCTATTTTTAAGTCTTTCCTGGCTGTTTAATTCTATCTTAATTTACTTCCACCTTAATAGTGGTTGTTTGCAGTCTTGTTAAAAGTAAATTAGATTTTAAAAAAATAATAGTAATAATAAAATTTTAACTACTATTATTTTATGTCATTTTATTTAAATAAATTGATACATACCTTATATATGTATGTATGAAACATGGATTTACATGATGTGTATATTTATATGATGTATATGGCATGTCTTAAATAGTTCAAAAAAAAAATATTATTAATAATTATAGTATTAGAAATTACAATAATAAAAAATTCTGATTTTTTAGATGTGTTTCCAACTGTGATAAAAAACTGAATTTTAAGGAACGTGTGATATATACATTTAAATGTGAAGATTGTGGTCTACAAACGTGAGTAACAACAAACTGACTATGCATAACACTTTGTACTTGTTTGATATATACTTTCTTTTATGTATATTTATATATATATATATATATATATATATATATATATATATATATATATATATATATATATATATATATATATATATATATATTTTTTAATTATTCACTTCCCCAAGGCCCGAGGGGGCCACTACAGTCGAGTTGGCTACTCATTTTTTTTTTTTTTTTTTGTAAATCGTGGTACAACCCATTCTCAACTCTTTAAATTTGAAACACGAACCTTGACAAGCAAGACCGCTGTGCAACGAAATCAAGTTGAGCGCGGTAATTCCAGGGACGTGGTGGGAGTCGAACTCCGACCCTCTCGCTTACAAAGCGAGCGCACTTACCACTACACCATTACCGCTTATTATATATATAAATATATATATATATATATATATATATATATATATATATATATATATATATATATATATATATATATATATATATATATATGTATATATATATATATAAATATATATATATATATATATATATATATATATATATATATATATATATATATATATATATATATATATATATATATATATATATATATATATATATATATATATATATATATATATATATATATATATATATATATATATATATATATATATATATATATATATATATATATGTACCTATAAAAATGTAAAAGGGATTGAAAAATTGAGAAAAAAAATTACAATAAAAATAACCTAATTTCTTTTTTAAGAAAATTTAAACTTTAAATATTAGGCAATATGTGTTATGCACACTTAAAAAAATATATACAATTTATTATCTATATAATTTTATAACAAATTAATTTTATAATAAGTATATATTTATCATAAAATCAATTTAATATAAAATTGAAAGAGCAATATTACAAGAGCAATATTACAAGAGCAATAATACAATAATACAAGTAAATACTTGTAATAATAAACCAAAATAACAATAAACCAACTTGTTATAATAAACCAAAATAATAATAAACCAACTTGTAATAATAAACCAAAATAATAATAAACCAACTTGTAATAATAAACCTTGTAATAATAATAATATATATATATATATATATATATATATATATATATATATATATATATATATATATATATATATATATATATATATATATATATATATATATGTATATATATATATATATATATATACAAAGATATATATATACAAAGATATATATATATATATATATATATATATATATATATATATACAAAGATATATATATATATATATATATATATATATATATATATATATATATATATATATATATATATATATATATATATATCTTTTATTTATATATATGCATTTTTATCTTTCAAATTCATAACATATTCAAAATAGAAAAATGACATCATTAGATAGTAAGAAAACCAGAAAATCCATTTCAATAATTGCTTTATGTTAGAAATTCAATTTGAATTTTCAACATTACACAATTATTTGAAGCAATTTCTTGATCAAACTTTTTTATTATAATTAAAAGACATCAATTCACATCTCTGGAATATTTACTTTCTAACTTTTTCTTTTGCTTTGAAAATCGCTCTACCATAGTTTACATATTTAAAATTTGTAATACATGAAATTTAGAAAAATTAATTTTACTTGAATATAACATTTTGAACTAATTTGGTTAGGAATCAACTTTTTTAAATTGTGAGGCAGTCTAGAAATAAGTCACTAAGTTAGACGACAATGAAAATAATCGCTTTCTATTAAGGTTGGTTGTATGGTTATTTGTTGTTTTTATTATTTTTAAAATTATTTTTCCAACTATACCATTCCCACTATTTGAATGAAGGTTGTTTTTATCTTTTTTTTTATTTTACATTTTAGAGTGGAGATGGGGTAGGGCTAAGGTAGGAAGACAATCACAGTCTTTTTTTTAAACTTTATAAAGCTTTATGAAATACATCTTTATAATTGTAATAAAAATATCAAGCATTGACAGGGAGGGTTGGGGAGCCCTAGCTGTTTTTATACATTCCTGGCACAGGAATTCTGAGAGTTGATTATAATTTTATTTTTATATTACTGGTGGTTTCTTTTCATTTTATAAAAATTTAATTTGTATTAATAGTTGTCTAAAACTTTTTAAAAATTGAACCTAAATTTAAAAAAAAAGAACCTTTAATAAAAAAATTTTAAAATCTGTGTCCTGGTAGCAAAACATTACTTTTTAACAAAAATATTATCAAAATTGAATTCCCATACCCAAATACATAGAAATCCAATTTATTTATTTATTTAGGTATGATATACCTATATATATATATATATACATATATATATATATATATATATATATATATATATATATATATATATATATATATATATATATATATATATATATATATAAATATATGTATACAACATATATAAATATATATAAATATATATATATATATATATATATATATATATATATATATATATATATATATATATATATATATATATATATATATATATATATATATATATATATATATACACATGCTTACACTACCCTAAAAATGATTTACGGGAACAATTTACAGTTCTCGCAAAAGTATAATTATTTTTATGAAAGTATAATTATTGTTATAACTAAAATAAAAAACACAATGTCATTTTAAAAAAATTACTTGCATAATATACTGCAATGCTTTTTAAAAAGCACGGTTGTTGCAAAAAAAAAATTAAAATTAAAAAAGAGCGCCGATTTAAATGAGGAGCTTTTCTCCGCTCTCGTATATATATATATATATATATATATATATATATATATATATATATATATATATATATATATATATATATATATATATATATATATATATATATATATATATATACACATATATATATACACATATATTTCTTTTATTTATTTTATACACATATATATTTCAACTCCTCAAGGCTTTTTTTTTTTTTTTTTTTTTTGTACTAAATTTTTAAGCTGTTTTTATAAAATTGTTAAAGTTTATAAAATTAAGTTTTTTTTCTTTGCT